GAATATAAATATGCCCATCTCTGTTGCTGGGTGAATGCTGGTTAAGAAGTGGCCTCGAGACAACCAGTCGCTCTCAAAGCTTATGTGTTATCTTTTAGATGTCCCCACCACTCGCCGTAACGCGAGAAATTTAAACCTTCCCTACAACAACCACTTAAATATTAAGGTTTATAGTAGAAATAATTTTATTGCTTAGAAAAGAATTTTGTAATTACATCTTAAGACATGCTGCCTGCTGACGGCCCCCTATGGTGAAGAAGCGAAGGTGTAGGCAAGGGTTGTTAGGTGGCTCCCTCCTTCTCAGGCGGGAAACGCCTCTTCGGTAGGCCTGGTAGACCGATGAGGTAGGCTAGAGCCTGAAAACTCGCTACGAGCCGGACAGGAGGCTCAGAGGAGGCAGCCCCTCCACCTGACTCGGGGCAATGGGCTAATAACCCACTCCCCTTAAATAGTCATTATTACGAAACCTCTACTAGCAGAAATAGCCGGATTGTCATTACGGAATAAAACCAGGAAACGTTTGATGGACTTAAAAATCGCCTACTGGAACATTTTATCTTTATATAGACTCGGAGCCCTGCAGGCGCTCCTCGAGCAAATTGACCAATATCGCATTAACATCGTAACGATCCAAGAAGTCCGATGGCTTGGAAGTGGCACCCTTGAAAAGAGGTACCATACCGTATATTATAGCTACCACGAAACCAATCATATATATGGAACCGGATTCATCGTCAGAGGAAGAGCTCGGCAATTAGTGACAAAGTTTACTCCCATCTACCCTAGATTATGCTACCTACGTCTTAAGGGAAAACTCCTTAACATCTCGATAGTTAATTGTCATGCACCTACCGAAGTGTCATCTGAAGAAGAGAAGGACACGTTTTTCGAAGACCTCTCTAAAGTCCTCAAGATTTGTCCAGCATATGATGCTAAAATAGTTCTAGGAGACTTCAACGCACAGATTGGCATGGAAAGAATACACCTACCATCAAATGGAACTTTCAGTCTTCATCAGAACACAAATGCCAATGGCCAAAGATTGATTGACTTTTCAAACACTCACGGCCTTGTGATCGGAAGTACCATGTTCCCAGGCAAAAATATACACAACATGGAGATCACCTAAGCCAGATCGACCACTTCTTAATCAGCTCTCGTCACAGGTCCAATTTAATTGGAGTAAGAACATATAGAGGAGCAAACGTGGATTCGGATCACTACCTCATTATTGCCCGTATACGTGCCCGGATTACCACGAAGCAGAACTCGGATATTGGAGAAGTTGTGAAGAAATTCAATGTTCACAAACTGAAGGATCCTGAAGTGCGTGAAACCTATCAGCAACACCTTCAAACTAAGCTGGAGGAGGAACTAAGGGATAGGAATGACACAGTTGATGACCGACCAGTGGAGGGTGGGAGTATCAAGAGCGCTGAAAACTACTGCAGAGGAAATCCTAGGATTGCAGACAAGAAGCAGGAGGTCCCCTTGGTTCGATGATGAATGCTTCGACTCAACAAATAAGAAAAATGAAGCATATAGGAAGGCTATACAGCGCCATACGCGTCAAACACAGGAGACATACCGAATAGAGGAAAAGATATTGCACAGGAGAAAGAAGAGAGCATAGGAGAACTGGAAGATGAAGGATGTAGAAAACTGCAGGACATCTCGCGACACTCGCCTCTTCTTTCAGAAAGTGAATGAGGGCCGTAATACCGTCAAACCAAAAGTAACTATGTGCAAGAATGAGGACGGGAACCTGTTGACGGAAAGAGGGGAAATTCTGAAGAGATGGGCAAGGCATTTCAGCAGTGCGCTTCAAAGAGATAACTTTGAAGAAGAAATAGCCAGAGAAGAGGACGACTTCTCTAACGATGCCGAGCCACCGGATGATGAAGATATAGAAGAGGCCACAGCGAAGCTGAAAAACAACAAGGCTCCAGGACTGGATGGAATTCAAGCGGAGCTGATACGCTATGGAGGAATGTAACTAAGAAAGGAGCTCCATAACCTCATTTTGAAGATATGGGAGGAAGAGAAAATGCCTGAGGAGTGGAAAAGGAGAATTATCTGCCCACTGCACAAGAAAGAGGACCAATCGGATTGCAACAATTATCGAGGCATAGTGCTCCCCTCATGTGCCTGTAAAGTTCTATCTAACATACTATTTGAGAGACTAGTTCCTCATGCCGAGAGGGAGATAGGCAAATATCAAGCGGGATTTAGCCGAGGAAGGTCCACATTGGACCAACTGTTCTCACTGAGGTTGATGCTGGAAAAATGAAAAGAGTATAGAACAGTTACCCATCACCTCTTCATTGATTTTAAAGCCGCCTACGATAGTGTAACTCGGCCGGAACTCTGTCAGGCCCTGTTGGAAATGAACGTCCCAATTAAACTGGTACGACTCTTGAAAATGAGAATGTCAGGCTCGAAGTGTGCAGTACGAGTGGGAAGTGACTTCTCAGAAGACTTTCATACTAACTGCGGTGTAAGACAGGGAGATGCTCTAGCCTGTCTTCTTTTCAACTTCGCTGCAGAGAAAGCAGTGCGTATGCCCGGAATCCAACTCCATGCAACCCTTCTTAACAGTACCGTTTAGCTTCTTGGGTACGTTGACGACTTTGATATTGCCGCCAGATTGGAACGTGCATTAAGAGAGTCGTTCTTGGCCATAGAAGATGCAGCAAAGAAACTTGGGCTACACATAAATGAAGCTAAGACCAAGTATATGAGAGTCGGAGGAGATGGGCCAGGGACCGGTTCTTTTGCGGCTGGAACATATAATTTGGAAAAGGTATGCAGCTTTGTTTACCTCGGGTCTGAAATCAACTCCGAAAACGACATCTCTAGAGAAGTCAACAGAAGGATAACAACAGCGAGGCGGTGCTACTTTAGCCTTTCGAAGCATTTTAATAGCAAGTTCCTCTCTAACAGGACCAAGATCACTCTCTACAAAACCTTGGTCCGCCCTGTTTTAACTTATGGATCAGAAGCATGGGCCTTTAAGAAGCAAGATGAAAATAGACTTCTGATCTTTGAGAGATCAATCTTGAGAAGGATTTTTGGTCCTGTTAGAGAGGGTGGAATTTAGAGAAGAAGGAAAAATGCCGAACTTGCTCTCCTTTATAAGGACATAGACTTGGTAAAGTTTATAAAGTTAGGACGACTTCGATGGGCCGGGCACGTCGCACGTATGGATGATTCGGCGATACCCAGAAAAATACTGTCCGGAAAGATGCATGGGCAAAGAAAAGTTGGCAGGCCAAATGTAAGATGGGAGGACTCAGAGATATCAGACTCACGGGCTCTACTGGGAGTCCGAAACTGGAAAGCTGCTGCAGCTGATTGTATCGACTGGCGAAAGCTTTTGGAGGAGGCCCAGCCTGGGTGACGGGATGTAGCGCCATATATGTATGTTTGTGTGTATAAAAGAATTTTGTAATTACTTCTTAAAACATTGCAGCCTATTTAACCAACAGACCCTTTGATTATTTTAATATTAAATCATCATATTACATATTACATGTAGCAGCTTAGTCGTGAAAAACTGTAGGAGACAGGCCCGAAGGCCTTGAGATAGCAACCCCACTACCAGGCTAGGGTACTATAGGTTAATCATTGTGGCGTAGTGTCGAACCCCTTTAATATTAGGACTGGTATTTAACAGGATTGTGTTCTCTACCTTATTCTGGGAGGTGTTCTTATTCACTTCTCTTTCTTACTATACTCAACATAATTTTGAGGAAAGCTCTTTATAGAAAACAAGGATTTCAGTGGAGGCCCATGGAGAGACTTGAAGATTTGGCTTTGCAGAGGACTTATGTTATTTCGCTTAAAGTTTCCAGAATATGCAGGAGAAGGTGAATGAACTCCAGAAAGAAGCTTAAAGTGCCGGCCTCAAAATAAATGTTACTAAAACAAAAGAGATGAAAGTGAATAGAATGAGGCAGGAAAATCTATTTGTAGAAGATAAAATAATTGAAAGGGTTACTGAATTCTGCTACCTTGGGAGTATGGTAAGCCAGGATGGAGCGATTGATGAAGATGTATAAGAAAAGCCCAAAAAGCATTCTCACAGCTTTGGCCAGTGCAGAAATCACAAGAAGAGGGACCAAGCTACACATCTTCAAGACAAACGATATGCCGGTTCTGCTATATGCTTGTGAGACTTGGAAAGTTACCAAGCAGGTGACCAAGAAGCTACAGACAGTCAATAAATATCTACGGAATATATTGAGAGTATGGTGGCCTGAAACAATCTCTAGTACTGAGCGCTGGTCGCAAACTAATAAAGCTCTAATAGATGAAGTCATTAAACTTCGGAAATGGCTGGGGCATACGCTTAGGAAGGAGCACAATGACACAACACAACAGAGTCTAGATTGGAATCCCCAAGGCCAGCAAAGACGCTGATGATTTAGAGAAATGTGGAGAAGGACTCTAGAGAAGGAAATGCACAGCACCGGACAGACCTGGTCTGGAGTCAAGAAGCTAGCTAAAGATCGAGATGTATGGCAGAACTTCGTGACTGCCCTTTGTCCCACCTAAGATATATATATATATATATATATATATATATATATATAAAACACTTATTTTTAGAATCCAAAATTCGTTTTTATTATCTTAACCTTCTCTTTTAACATATGTTTTTTTTTTAATCATTTTTATCTAAATGACAAATGAACAATATCGATAGTTGTTTTGGATTAAGTTTAATACTATCATGCTTCCTTATGACTTAACTTTTATATATATATATATATATATATATATATATATATATATATATATATATATATATATATATATATATATATATATATATATATATATATATATATATTAGAGCATTGAAATAAATAAAAATGATTTATAATTGACAATAAAAATAATTGTCTGTAATATTATAATACTTACTAAGAAATGAGTTTAATAAATATGGTATTAGGTTCAAGTTATTTTCATTACGCATTAATCAAAATTGATACCTCTTTTTCTTCTTTTGTCGGTGGATTTCTCAATAATATTAATAGAGGAGCATACATGAAGTTCAAAAGTGCTATACAAACCAACATCCATTCGAAACCAATTGTTTTCACCAGTGTACCACTTACTGCCGGACCTATATAGCAAATTCATAGAATTGATATTAATGCTTTTTTGATTAAATAGAATAATTAATGAACAATATTACCTATAGCATATCCAAGACAAAATGCTACGTCTCCTATAGCATATACACTCCCATACACTGCCGTGTGACGAATATCAACAAGGTACCTGAAGGGTTAATGATTGGTTATTTCTATTTCTATTACAAATTATGGTCATTGGAAATTATAATCTAGTTACCCAAGCTGTGGCATCATTGAACTGTCCACCATTCCAATTGCAAATCCAAGACCAGCATTAGGTATGATGAGGTGGTTAATATTATGAGCCAATGGTATCTACAAAAAATATATTTAATTCAACCATCAGATGATAAAGTGTTTTAAAAATTAATATAGCACAGTAGAGTCACAAAACTGAAAACTTACTGAATCAAATCTAAGAATTTAACCATCCAAATAATTAAGACTTTAATTATAAGGACTCTTTTACATAAAATTGGAAATAAAAATTAATAAATCAGATTTTAATTCATGGCTGAATAAAATTGTATTAAAATAGTACAGTTGTAGTCTGACAAATGGAATAATGAAGTGTCACAAGTTGCTTATAACAACAGGGTTGCCCATCCTCAATGGCGCAAATACCTAACTTTCCCTCCTCCCAAGATATTTTAATTGCGGTACTTGTTCAATAGCGAGTAGCGTCTGCCAATGTTAATAACCTTACACTGATAACTCTAATAAGCCACTGATAGTATCTTCATATTCATATTTATTGTATTATATTCATATTATTATATCTTCGTATTCATATTTATTGTATTGCATTGATATTATCGAAATTGTGAACAAAAACAAAAACAAATGTAATAATACAAAAATTCTTTTATTTTACAAGATATATATTAAATAGACCAGAACATTATACATATATAATTAAAAGATATTACGAAAACATTGCAACATATTAATAAATGAAATAATAAAAATAGGCCAAAATAGACAAAAATAAATGAAACAATAAAAAACCAGTTAAAAAAGCATATGTAAATATTAAAGAAACGATGTAAAAGATGGCAATTCCCACAATATGACAACATCCATAATTAAATAAGACTAACTCACAGCTTACACAAGGAACAAAAAATAAACAAGGGAATAACTTAGGTTAGAGGAGATAAGGGAGGTTATGTGAAATAAGATTAAATAACAAGGGAGGTTTTGACACTACCCGCTATTGAACAAGTACCACAATGACACTAGCTAAAGTCTGTTCCATGTTGAGGGCGGGGTGGCCGAATGGGCTAAAGCGTGTGCACAGCACCGCGAGTTGCCTGGCAACCGGATTACAGATTTGAGAAGATTTAAAAAGTACCAGTTCGCGTCCCAGTGCCGGAGGGGATTTTAAATTCCCGCCCTCATCCCCCGGCTCGGGAAAATCCCGTATAGCCTAAAAGATCTGTTCCATGTTTCCCCTTGTTCATTTATCTGAAACTTTTCATTCTTTAAATTCATAACCCCGTCGAATTGTGTCCCCCTTAAAAATTCAAACCCCTTTCTTGGCACCCCTGTCTAACATCAGTAAAAAATGGTAATAAATATAAAAAAGAAAGATTTGAGTTTGTTTGTTGATATATAATATAATTTATTGTTACTACCATTTTAAGTAACAATGGAAAAATTGTTGTATTTCAGAGGACCTTAATACACATTTAGACATTTAACAATAGTTAATTTTAAAAAATCTGTTTTTTCATATTTATTACTCATATATGGTGGTGAAGATATGAAGAAATAATTCAATTTTATTTAATAATTCAAGATTAGTTATGGAGCGAGATGGACCAATCAGTGAGAAACTGGACCTCAAACTTCCCAATCCCTTGTTCAGGTTGTCTTTTGTGTTATCTGTCAGCCATGACTGTACTTTGGAATTGGGAAAACATCCTGTGGCTCTTGTAAAAATGATAAGCTGGTGTGTATGTTTCACAAATAACAAATTAATTTATTCAAATAATTCAGCTTATAAAATCCGCACTTCTGTAAATTTCTATGTCGTACTGATGGTACATCAGTGGCGGATCCAGGATTTTTCTCAGGGGGAGGGGGACCCACCTCTATACCAGGTGCTTTCTCCACCTCTACCAACCCCCACTCCTTAGCTGAGTTTAGCCGCTCAGAAGTCCTGTTTAAATGGTTTTAACAAAAGCAAACTCTATTTTTATTTAAAGTAAATTTTGTCTAGTCTGCAGTGAAGAAATCGTTAATTACTTTAATTATATAGTTTTTTGAAATCACTTCCTATTAAAAAAAAAACGTGGCTTACATGAAAAATTACAAAACTTTAATTCCCTACTTTCCTGCTGAAAATTGAACACTTGTTTACATAAACTTTTTTGTATTTATTGAGTTCTTCTATCATTCCTTTAAATATTTCCCTCTACCTAAGAGACACCCTGTATGTGGGTTTAGACGTGTAAAAAACTAAATTCTGACACGGGTCATCAAGAGAAAACTTTTTACAGCCTAAAAATCCTGATTTATGCGATCTTCTTCTTTTTTTTTCATGTATTACTACTAAACAGTGCATCAAAGCGAAAAACGTATTCTTTAAAGAACGTCAAATCGTGCGTTGGACAAGCACCTAAACTTAATAATTTGATTAAGTGATATGGTAGATGATAACGAACGCTAATTTTTACCGACACTGTCAAAATCTGAGAAAGATTAATATAAATGGTCCTGCAGCTTGGAAATGAGTTCTCTAAGAAAAAAACAAAAACTTCCAAATAATTTTCGATTCCGATCAAATCGGAGACCAAATAATTAGTACCTTCCTTCTGAAAACGTTGCTAACAACAGTTATTTTAAGAAAATAACAACACTTTGTAACGAGAAATATACAAATTATTATCGTGACCAGTTTTATGAACCGTATGGATTCTTCAAGATTATAATAGCTAGAGGCTGGAATGCGTCCAGATCTATTGGAAATGAATAAAAACTGGGTCCGTGAGAAAACCCGTATTTCCTTGTGTTCAAATAAAAGGTTGTTCGAAAGAATAAATAAAATTCATTTTTTTTAAAATAAATTTTCCTTCATCATATATATCCCCTGCGAGATTCAGTTCGAAGTCAATAGAAACAAACTGCGATAGGAGCACAAACCTTCTCATCTTATGGCGCCCCAAAAACTACATCACTCTTTTCTTTGAATAGCTGCTTTTTGGAACTTTTTCAGATTTTTTTGTCCACAACCCAGAGGGAGCGTCATCTTCTTGCAGAATTCACAAGTGCTCGTCACGATAATATATTTTTTTAATATATTCCATTAGCAAATTCCTATATGAGGATGAATTTTCCCTATATTTCTCTTGCACAGGTGCTTAAAATATTAGTTTTCGACAGAAAGGTCCTTCAGAGGATATTTGGCCCACTTAAGGAGAATGGTGAACGGAGAATTAGACGCAACCAAGAACTATCTAACTTATAAATGGAGCCGGATATGATGAAATATATCCGGATTAGGCTGAGATCGGGTGGACAAGTTGTATGGATGGACGAGACCTCAATCCCAAAGAAGCTACTGCGCATGGAGCCGGTAGAAAAAGAAAAGTGGACAGACCGAAACTGAGATGGAAAATGGAGTAAGTGTTGATGCAAGAATACATGGAATCTGGAACTGGTAGAGGCTGCTCAGGAAAGAAAACATGGAGGAAAACTCTTGAGGCAGCCAAGATCCAGTAATGGATTGTCGAGTTCAAGATGATATTGATCACATTAGCAAATTCGTCTTAGAGAATGATTTTTCCTATGTTTCTCTTTTCTTTAAATAGATGTTTTTTTGATAGTTTTTTTCGGAATTATTTTTCTAGCATCCAGAGAGAGCGCGCCTCCTGGCAGAAATCACAAGTGCTGATCACGACACGATAATAACTTTTTTTATATTACATAAGGAAATTCGTGCATGAGGATGACTTTTCTCTATATTTCTCTTTTCTTTGTATAGCTATTTTTTTGTAATTTTTTCCAGCATCCAAGGAAGGGCGCGCCCCCTAGCTGAATTCGCTAATGCTGGTCAGGATAATAATTTTTTTTTATATAATATTAGAAAATTCGTCTTAGAGGATGGATTTTTCCTATATTTCTCTTTTCTTTAAATAGGTGTTGTTTCGGATTTTTTTCCCGCCATCCAAGAGAGGGCGCCCCCTGGCAAAATTCGCTAATGCTGGTCACGATCATATTTTTTTTTATATTATATTAGGATATTATAAATAAATATGTTCATCGTCTATGAGGATGAATTTTCCCTATATTTCTCTTTTCTTTAAATAGCTGCTTTTTGGAACTTTTTTTGAATTTTTTTTCCAACACCCAGGAGGGGGAGGGGGACGCACCCCATGCCGGATCCGCTAGTGTGGTACATTCGTGCCATCTAAATACTTCCTCATTATCTGTTCCTATCTTACTGATAGATACTTCAAAGTAAATCACAACAATGCCTATTCATTCCTTTTTTGCCAGTCCGCTGGTATTCCTCAAGGTAGTATTCTAGGTCCTTTCCGTTACCCAATCTATATGGCTGACATAACAACACATCCCATCACTGTCATCACCACCTATGCCGATAATACATGTGTACTATTAGTTAATAACGACTCGTCAATTGCATCCCAAATTCTTCAATCGCACATCACAAATCTTGCAGAATGGTTTAAAACTGGAGAATTCAAATGAATTCCGATAAATCCCATCCAATAACCTTTACTCTTCGTCGTAAACTTATCACTTCCGGTCCAGTATCCTTTAACAATGCCACACTTATCCCTATTGAACAAATCTGATACCTAGGACTGCATCTCGACAAATGTCTAACTTAAAAAATGTCTAATTCTTAATTTAGATACTTTATTAGAGTGCTACCAGTAAGTAGATTCTCTAAAATTCTTTTCATGGTATTGTATTTCTCTGTACTCATTTGCTAGATGTAATTTCATGAACAAATAAAAAAAAAGAAGTTGTAATAATGTAAAAATGATAATGAAGATAGATATTTTTGTAATACTGTTAAATAAATAACATTAATTTATATTTAAACATATAAATAAATTATTACAAATTTATTAAATTATATTTTTTTAAAAATTACTTACACACATCAAACATATTCCAATTACGATCAGGCCAAGAAGGGTAGCCAACCATCTGAAAAGTAAGAAATAGAGTATTTATTATATAATATTGTTTTATGCTGTAATATAATTGAGTAAAATATTTAGGTGTCGTTAAATGAATTTATTTGTTAATCTGGGTGATAATATTTTGAATTAATTAATTAAAATTCATTTTTATTTGTAGTTGATTGCTAACTACCTGGGCCAGATGTTTTGTAAATTCTGGGGAAGATAACACTAGTGTTGAGAATGAAGAAAGATCCAGGATTAATTTTTGTATTGTGAATAGGTAATGTTTCTATTAAAACTATAAATTTTACTCAACATTGCACGACAATTAAGACCATGTAGAGGTGCGGCTGCGCACTGTCATTCCCTAAATATTTTTCTGTTACATGCCATCTAATTTGCTGATTGGCACTTTTTTCTGTGACAGGTATGAATGAAAGTTTATTAAGATTAAGTAGAAGAATAGGATGAAATTGAATGTGAATTCTTTCACAGATATACTAATTATTATTATATTTACACTGTTTTGTTATTAATAATAACAGAGATATAAACAACAAATTATGAAAGCTGGAAATGGAAAAAATAAATAAATATTTTTTATCTACCAACCTTCATTCGGGCCAGTCACAGAAAATAGTACCGACACCAAATAGTAAACGACACCAAACAGTAAATTAAATGGTATGTGATAGAAATTTCGATTAGATGGTATGTAAGATATGATAATTAGAGTAGAATTTATTAAAAACCAAGAAAGTTAGAAAATCCATAAAACATGTTAATTTTTACTTTCACTTACCCATATATGTAATATATAGTAAGGGAAAGTATTGCGATCGTGAAAATTTTTGAATCGGCGTTTTCAACGGAAATACAACTTTTGAGGTACCCTGAGTCCAAATAACCAAGTCCTGCAAAATGGTCTGTGTCTGGGTGTGTGTATGTTAGCAGTCTAGCTCAAAAACAAAAAGTCCTAAGAAAATGATATTACCTATTACGTATTACGTATTTATAACAACTGATATTACGTATTTAAGATAGGTATATTCCTTAGAAGCGACAGCAACTTTTGCCTTAAAATCGGCTAATTGGAAGTCCCACATTATATCAATGGTGAAACATATTTTTAAAATTATCTCAAAAACGCCTCTAACGATTTTGATTAGGTGAATACCATTTAGGTGTTAAACCCATTGATGTCACTTTATAGAGCTTAAATGACCAATGTTCATATACGTCTTCCTCTAAAGTACCGTTAATATTGAATATTTAAAAAAAATAACTCTATTTTATTGACAGTAACTATAAAAATCTGGTAACACACAACTTTCACTTATCCCTCAACTTTGAATAGAAATTATTTTCTGGCCATGTTGGGCTATTATATATATGTATATATATATATATATATATATATATATATATAAGTTAAGGTACGGAGCGGGCTAGTATTAGCTTTAATACCAAAAGCATTTATGTAAACAACTTAGAATGTATATATAGAGGATTATAAGGAGGAATAAATCAGTCTTCTTTCTGACTTCATGCGTGTTATTTGTTGAACCTTTACTCTTTTTTTTAAGTGTTTAAAGCCAGCAACGTTTAACTGGTGCCGAAACCCGGGAATATGAGAGTGCAGAGGTACGTTTTTTTTAAAACCAGAGGTGAACAGTTACGAGCATGCCTGAATTTGCCTTAGGGCAGCCGGCTACCATGAATGTGCCAGAGATCCCTCCGTTACCGCAGGGAACCTTTGCCGCGGCGCATGCGAATGCGATAGAGTGGATGAAAATCCGGGTAGCCATTGCACAGGACCTCAGGGAGGCTATATCCGATCTCGAGCGCTTCACTGGAGAAATAGGTGAGCTCAATCATTTTGTAAAGGGTGGAGATCGGCTCGTGGCTAGAATTAACGCGAAGATTGGCGAGAACCTCGTCAACGCTGGGGATGCGGAGGCCCTTAAGGCGGCCCTTGTGTGCAGGGTAAAACGGAGCATCCTGAACCATATTCAGGCAGATGAAGAGACGACGTGGGAAATGGTCAAGGAGAGACTGAAGAAAGCCTACGGTGGTGGCAGATGGACTACGGAAGAAGACATCTATCAGATGTTTCGCGAGGTGAAGTCTTCACGGCAGTCCAACGGACAGTATGCGGCAACACTAGTAGCTCACTACAACCGGATCACCGAGAAGATGCGGGAGACAGCTGGAGCTCCGGAGGTCGAAGCGAAGATGGCCTTCTTGTCCACCATACTGAAGGTGTAATTGGCGAAGGAAACTGGGAAGAAAGATGGCCTACCCCGGGAACGTTCGTTTATTGAATGCGCCCAAGAAATGGTAGATTCCAGCGCTCGAGATGAAGAAGCCCGGTTAGAGGGGGAGGAACCAGGATGGAACAGAGTGATCTATAGGAGACCTAGAAGTTCACCAACGACCTGGAGAAGGAGAGAGCCCGCACACAACGGGAGAGAGAAGACCACCGGAGCCGAACGAAGACCAGGACAAGGTAGGGCAAGAGGTAGCCAACGGAGAGAGGACAGGAATGCCACGGTTGTGGAAAGAGCGGACACCTGGTGGCACAGTGTCCCCGCACGAAATGTTTTGAGTGTGGGACTGAGGGACACATTGCGAGGCAATGTCCGTACATCTATTCCAGAAGAGGCTCACAGAGGGTTGAGCCGATGGAGGTAAATTCCCAGGAAGTGAGGAGAAGAAGGATACAAGCAAGGAGGAGCGAGTCATCAAGAGACTCGTCGGAGGAATCCTTGGCCACGGAGACAGAAGAGGAGATAGAGGACCCAGTAGGCCGGGAGAACGAGAGGAGTCGAGGAAGAATCAGCGGAAGGAGTGGACGCCGACAAACCGTGGAGAGGATCTGAGGAGAGTGTCAGGCGAGGGGTGACCGCACGCTAGTGAGTTGTAACATCAGAGGTAAAAGCTGCTGGTTACCTATAATAGAGGTGGGAGGAGTGCGATGCCTGGTAGACACCGGGAGTTCCAATACCATCATGACACGGGGAGTGTTGAAGAAGCTGTACGATGGAGAGAGGACACTCCAAGTCAAGGTATGTAATTGTAAGTTAATCACCCTGGGTGGCCCGTGTGGGGTAGAAGGGGAAGTGGAGATAGGTTTGAGGAGGTGGGCAGCCAAGGGAGGTAAACTTACGGTGCATGTAGTGGGAGAAATGCCGCGGGAATACCAGGTAATTATAGGATGTGACATGTTGGGGAAGGTGGGCGTGCGAATCGCATATAGAAGGGAGGAGTGGAAAATAAAGATGGGGAGAATCAGGTATACGAGTACGATGGCAATAGAGGGGCATGAGGACCGGAGAGCACGTGTGGGAGGTATAAGTCGGGCGGAGGATTGGGAAGTAGTCGTGAGAAGGGAATTCGAAGACATCTTTTTCAAGGAGGGAGATACGTTGGGGATGACGGGCAAAACGGTGCACGAGATCCCGCTGAAGCGCGAAAAGGTGAGCTACGTGAAAGAGAGGAGGTATCCGCAGGCACTTCGCCAATACATTAGGGAAGAGTTGGAGAGTCTAAAGAAGCAGGGGATAATTGTCGATAGCACGTCGCCATATAATAGCCCGCTATGGGCAGTTAAGAAGAAAAGCGCGCCCGGAGAGGATAAGTACCGCGTGGTAATCGATTACCGCAAACTTAATGAGAATACTGTGGATGAAAAATAACCAATCCCGAAGTTTGAGGACATTTTAGATCGGTTAAGCGGGGCAACGGTATTCAGTACTCTTGACCTGAAAGCGGGATATCATCAGATTAGGATGCTTCCGGAGGATCAATTGAAGACAGCATTCACGTTCGAGAGGGGGCATTACGAATTTACGAGAATGCCATTTGGTCTCAAGAATGCCCCTATAACATTCCAGCGGCTAATGGACGAGTTCCTAAGGGAATTGACGAAGGGATGTGCCAAATTTACATGGACGACCTGTTGGTATTTAGTAAAAACGAGGCGGAACACGTAGAGCATCTACGTAGGGTATTTGAGAGAGTCAGACAATTTGGGCTGAAACTGTCCAGCGAGAAATGTCTGTTAGGGCAGGACCACATAAATTTTTTAGGACACACGATATCGAGTGAAGGAGTAAAACCTGACGCGCGGAAAGTGGAGGCGATTCAGAAGATGGCAATACCTCGGGATGTAAAAGGGATCCGCAGATTGTTGGGAACCCTTAATTATTATCGACGATTTGTGCCCGAAATGGCGGAATACCTCGTACCCCTCAACAATTTATTAAAGAAAGGCAGCAAGGTGATAGTAACCCCCATAATGGAAGACAACATTCGGAAATGCATGGCGAGGCTGCAAGAGGAGCCAGTATTAGCATTTCCGGATTTTACGAAAGTTTTTACGATCACAACGGACGCTAGCGAATACGCGTTGGGGGCTGTGTTATCCCAGGAGGGAAACGGGGGGGACCGTCCCGTAGCATATGCCAGCAGGCGACTTACGGAGGCAGAGTCGCGATACAGTGCGCTGGAGAGAGAACTGTTAGCGATCGTATGGGCTATCGACCATTTTAGACCATATCTTTTTGGGAGGAAATTCCGCGTGCAGACGGACCATAGACCCCTACAATGGGTGGGAAAGCTAAAGGAATCTTCGGCTAGAGTCACACGCTGGAAGGAGATTCTTAACCAGTACAACATGGACATTGTGTACAAGCCCGGAAGAGAGAATGTGGTGGCGGATTGGCTATCGAGAGCGCTAACTATAAATGCCATAGAGGAGGATACAGCTGAATCATCGGGAGGCGTGAGACAATTCCTGAGGGACTGGACGCCAGAGGGAGAGGGGGTACAAGTGGTGGAAGAAAATGTTGATACCCAACAAGAAGAAAGTCCAGCGGAGGAGAGACCAGTGGACATGGAGAAACGGGAGGAAATCGTCAACGATAAGAACCGCCAGATCATCTGGAAAACCAGGACGTCGGGTCTGATGAAGATATTATATAGTAAGTACAGCAACAGCCGAATAACAACCATTTGTTC